CCCCCCCCCCTCAGAAGACCAGCAGCTCCCCGGGGTGACAACCGAAGGTGTAGGACACCGTGGATGCCTTGGCTTCAGCCGTGGGACCTCGCCTGTGGGAAGGGCAGAGCCACAGCAGCCACCAGGGATCAACCCCCTCTCCAGCTGGAGTGGGGAAATGCACTGCAAAGCGTCTTGGTGTTGGCAGAGGGTCACAGAATGATGAAGGTTGGAAGGGACCTTAATGATCATCAAGCTCCAACCCCCCTGCCATGAGCAGGGAACCCACCACTAGACCAGGTTGCACAAAACCTTCTCCAACCTGGCCTTGAAAACCTCCAGGGTTTGCTGGAGCCTGGTTTTGAGGTTTTTTTTTCTGAGGGCACAGAGGTTGGAGATGCCTTGGGGGATGCAGGAGGGACATGTGCCTGCACAGGGTCCTTCCAAACATTCCCGCTGGGCTTGGGGCTTTCCTGCCTCCTTCTCCAGCTGGATCTCCCTGTCTGACCCCCAGGAGCCCTGCCCACAGATGGCAGTGATGGACACACATGAAATCCCTCCCTCCCCCAGATGAAACAAGGGAAGTCCAAGACTGAACAAGAGCAGTTTGACTTCCCCAACCCAACGTGCTCAGTCAAGTAAGAAGAAGTGAAACCACCATCCAGACAAGAGGGACATCCAGATAGAGGGACAGCCCAGAGCAGCACCAGCCCCAGAGCATATAAATGTCCAAGGGAGCCAGATCTTGACTGCTTTATCCCCAAAGCATCCTTTAAAACCTCCAGCAGGCCCAGTCCTTTGAAACCTGGAAATAAACAGGCCTGGGAATCTGGAGCAGAGCTTTGTGTCTCCAGCCACAGCACCTTCTGTAGTGAGTGAGCAGCTCCTGGCAGGAGCTCCACCACAGCCCTACCTCAAAAAAATCACCAGGCTGAGGGTGATTGGTCCCAATTTGTAACAGAAACTGCATCTCAGGTGGAGGGAGATGTAAGAGGAGGGGCAGGAGATGGGCTAGATGAGACACAGAAGAGTTCCAACCAAACACTGACACAGGAGAGGATGATGGGGACGTTGCCCCTGATGGACAGGATGACTTGTTCCCTTTATGTAAAACACACTTGTCTCCCACCAACACTGGGAGAAGGGGGAGTTCCTGCTGTGGAGAGGAGGTCCCCCAGCACAGGGGGGCAGGGGCAGAGCAGCATGCCTTCACCAACCCCCCCCACCACCCCTTGGTGATGTCCAAGGTGGTGATGTCCACCCTGCAGGGACAGGAAGGGCTTGACCTGGACTACAGGTCCCCTTGTAGTGATGCTCACCAGGGAGTCAGGGCTGAGAAAAGAAGCCTGGCTGCCTGGTGTCTGAAGACAAGGAGATAACAAACCACCACAGGACCCTTTCAGCTCAAGCCCCAGATGACCACGCTCCTCTTGGATCTTCCCAACGTGCCAACGTGTCTTCTTTCCACTTCCCTTTGGCCCAGGGGGAATTTACATCCCCACAGCAGCAACGTGGTCCAGCCCAGAGGAGGAGTCAGGCTGTGAGATCCACGAAGATGGCATTGGCAGTTGTCTGTCCAAAGATGAAGGCTCCCAGGGTGACCATGAAGACCCCGTAGCAGACCTGGGCCCACCAGCTGCAGGTGCAGGAGGACAAGAGTGTGTTTAGAGGGGACCTTCATCCCAAAATCCACAGGGGAAGCAGGGAGAGAGGAACGGAGTTGGGACAAGGGCAGGGAGGGAGAGGACAAGGGGGAAGGGATTAAAACTGGAAGAGGGAGATTGAGGTGGGACATGAGGAGGAAATTGTTTGGTGTGAGGGTGGTGAGAGCCTGGCCCAGGTTGCCCAGGGAAGCTGTGGCTGCCCCATCCCTGGCAGTGTTGAAGGGCAGGTTGGATGGGGCTTGGAGCAGCCTGGGCTGGTGGGAGGTGTCCCTGCCCATGTAGGGGGGTTGGGACTGGATGATCTTTAAGGTCCCTTCCAACCCAAACCATTCCATAGTTCTATGAAGTGCATTTTGGTTACCTGATTGCCCTGGTTTCTTGAATTTCAGAGAGCTTGGCTTGAATCAGGCAGAGCCCTGGAAGGGAGAGGAGGGAAATGACCCCCAGCTGGGAGCTGAGCAGGCACCCCAGGAGCTGCACCCCCCACGATGGAGCAGCTCCAGCCCGGACACTTGGTTGAGCTGCTGACCAACCCCATCCCACACTTCCTGCCCCTTCTCTAAAGCCCTGCTCACCACCCTGCTCCCTCAACACTAGGCCAGGAGACCCCTGCCACCCCCCCTTGAGCCCCCCCCCGGGGTGCCCTACCCGGGAAGACAAAG